AATTAACGCGAGAAATGAGGAACATTTCACACGTTTTTCTTTCTATATAAAGTTTTAAGTTCGTAACCACAAATTCAATGCACAGGCAAATATGTCTGTAGTCTTTTCGCTCTTTACGTTCATCAAGAATATATGTACTTTGTAGAGTGTTCTATGGTTACTAGAATGCATTAAAAACCATTCGTGCCTGTAGATTGGAATAGAAATTATAAAATGGATGAAAATGTAATTGAAAACTAGAAGTCACAAAAAATGTTCTTAATTATTAAAGCATACGAAAATTTAGAGAAAGGAGAAAATATATACAGTGACAAAAATAGCGATCAAAACGATTAACATATTTCAATGTTTTCAATAAAAAAAACTATATAAAAAAAAATCAAAAATGAAATAAATGCTGTGCAGGCGATACATACATTTTGCACGTTTGCATTAGTAAGTCAATCAGAAATACTGCTGCGAACAAAACGAGATGAGGCTAAATTTTTTTAAAATGTCCTCGACATCATATCGATGTGCATACTTGTTTTGGTAGGTTGGTGTAACTGTTGTTGACAGCGGAAACCAATTTTAAGAGACGTGCTCTGTTGGATTACTAATAGCAGTGTTTTTTTTTCTTTCTTTTTTTTTGTTTGCCTTGTTATTGACGATTTTTAGGACAAAAAATCTGTTGAATAGAGGATTTACATCAAAGTTTGGCAAAAAAATAAAATGAAATGGATTAAAAATGTGTAAGGAAGCACTTTGCGCGCATCAGATTGTAAAAGCATACTTAAAGTAGCAATACCAAAAAGACAGACATAAGGATAAGCAAACAAGCAAACATTATGGGAAAAAAAAGAACTTATGCATGTTGATGAAGACATGCCTAACGGGGTATAAAATCATACGATTTGGTACCTAGATTAGCAATGACAATGAAGCAGACATAACAAGCAATAGGCATTGAAAAAAGGGATTGATACGATTGATTACGCTTAGTACGAATCCTATGGAAGCATACGCAAGGGTTCTGTGGTTTATGCAATCACATGAGTTGGTGTGTAATAAACAATAAAATATACATAAGATTAGTAGTATACAAGTAAGTGTGGAAATTGTAAATGTAGGTAAACATGTTCGATCAGACCTAAGTTAGCATACGATTTGATCATACGAATCAGTACTTAAGATAGTATTAGTAAATGCAGGCAGACATTGCCCGATCAGACCTAAGTTAGCATACGACTTGATAGTATTAGTAAATTCAGGCAAACATGTTCGATCAGACCTAAGTTAGTATACCTAAGAATAGATACATAAAAATAACACATATGCAAGTCAAAGCAGCTATGTAACGGGACAGCAAGGGTGATCGCGACTATAAAAGAGCACGTAGCAGAACGCTCAGCCTTTCAGTCGGGTTACAGTAGCCAGAGGTAAGTGATCAGAGACTACATAACTAGTTGACATTACTGCTAGGGTTGTTTTTAGGCCTTACGGATAGGGGATGGCAGGTTTGGCTTAGCCGTCATCCCTGAATGACTACCAGGACTATTAACATTTACGGATAGGGGATGGCAGGTTTGGCTTAGCCGTCATCCCTGAATGACTAATGGACGCTCTCTCTTACGACGTGAAACGGTTAGGGACGGACAAGTAGCCCTACAGGCCAAGGTTGGCTGTTGTAACACCTGCGGGGTGTTCCTTTTCTTTACAGAATCTCGCGATACAGAAAACGTGAAAATTAAGAATAAGCTTTCGATACGCATAAGTATCAATTAAGAGCATTAAACAAGACTCGGGTCACCGCGCTGGTTTTTTTCTCCTACCCCTCTTAAAATCGCTGATCATTGTAATCTTCTAATAATTAAATAAATAGAAACATAAGAACCAAACCGAAGGTCCAAGTTATTTTTATACTATAAATTTTCTTGAAAAGAGTCCTGGATTGGCTGAGTATACCCTGCCCAAGAAGACTCATTACAAATGTTACAAAAGTGTTACAATGATGAGTGGTTACCAAGATTACAATTACAAGGCTTAGCTTCAAAGAGCTTGCGTTTGCCATCCGACATTTGACTTAAAAGGAGTCCTTGCAGATGTTGTTGGTATATGAAGAGAATCAATACAAACAATCTCGTGTGTCTTCCCTTGCTTTTGCAAAAGATTTGCATTCGTTTTGAAAAACAACGTCGTATTGAAGTATCAAAAGAAATGCTTTCTATAAGTGACAATAGTCGAAGGTGTACGATTACTGACGATGAAACATGGACTTGTGCCTATGTCCGGTCTACAGTCTAGTGAATATCGTGCTACACGTGCAGTATCGATGAGTACGCATAGTAGACTTTATGGTATTCTCAGTTAATGTGGTTGCGTCTTTATTAAAGCCTTTCTTCATTAAAAGAGTGTATGAGAGATTTGGTGAGCCCTAAGTGAAGACAGGATTTATCGTCTTGTTTGTTCTTGGTGCTCATAACGACACAAAGTTGAGACAAAAAAAGGATGTAGAATTTTTATAACGGTACCGCTTTTTCGATTACATTTTCTGATTTAATGTTTGACATTCTTGTGGTATTTCAACTGTTTAATCGGAGGAGTCACACAAGTTCTAATAAGGTTTTCAAATTATTCAATTTCTTGTGCTGAAACTGTAGAGTAAAACGAACTGAACTAACTGCAATTTATGCACGCATTTAAGCGGTTTTATTGCTGATATCAGATAAATGATAGGAACTTGAAAACGTGAAGATAACTTATGCCTCTATTTCGAGAGAATTAAAAGTTTAATTAATATATTATTGTCTATCTGTGATGTTGCAAAGGACATGATTCCGATATTCAGTTGTAGTTCACGTAGTGAGTACAAAATATTTAAACTTGTAAGATACATTTAAAAAAAAAGAAAAAAGTGCAATAGTGGGATGGATATTCATTCCACTGATTAAATTTAATTCAAAATTATGAAAAGTTAAAGTTACAATAAATTAAAATATTATAGAATAGGTTGTATTTTATAATATATTTAGAGATTAATTCTTCATATTATATATTTAATAAATATTGTTTTTCTTATAAAATTTGCATCAACATCAATAAATTTGTTTGAAGTGTGCGGTATGTTTAACAAGTTGACATATTTTTTCTTCCTTTTCCTCTTTTTCTGTTAAACAATTTATCCTAAAAAAAAACAGTTCTCTCTTTAGATCAAATTCACTAATCAATCGATTCATTCATTATACATACAATTAATATCTTATATATTATTCACAATGATTTTAAAGGGTATTTATTGTGTCTGTTTGTATATATAGGTACGAATACATTTTTATAGTTTGTGTGGGATTTTTTTAATTTTTGGCTTTATTTTGCTTTTTAAGGTTTTGTTTTGTTAGTGCCTTTTTAAATAAAAATTATATTTATTTGCTTATAAATACATTTATTTATAGATAATTCCTTTCTAATTCAGACGGAAAAGAAACGATGTTATCATGCCTTCCAATTTTCATGCTTAACTTAATGTGCGACACGATTATATTTTTACGTAAACTGTAAATTTCTTAAGATTGCAAGAAATGTAGACAAATCATTTTTATCCCTTACACTCTAGTGTATTCGGTTAATCTAAAATAACTAAGAAAAAGACTCCACTTATATAAACTTTATATATTATTTATAACGAAATCTTTTAAATATTTTGAGTTCAAGTATAGTTTTGTTGCCAAATTTTTGCAACGTTCAACTTATGTGAACCCAAGAAACGTTCTGACTATATACGAAAAGAATGCTTTCAACCAGGTGTTCCCAATCTCGCATCCCCGGATAAAACGACACCTCTGCGTTGCACTATACACTGACAAAATTTTGGTTTTCGAAAGCAAATAAAAAATTGAGTTTTTTCTCTAATTACTCGTAAACTGCAACATATACAACGATAAAAATTTTGAATTTATGAATGATCCCATAAAATTGTGTACGAAAATGAAAACGGGCACACCGAATGTTATCAGCCGGAGAGATATGCGGACAAGCTTAAAGTCATTTTCTAAATCGATCGGTATGATAAATGATGGGTGTATCTCAAGTCCATCTGGATGTAGTATATATAGTATATAGAGGGAAAGTGATTTAAGAAGCTTCCTGTCGGAAATAATAAAATCTAAAGTGCTCTTAACTCTTGTCCGTTATTCAGCAGTCAGTTGATCAGATGAAGGCTTTACTTGACGAATACAGGGATCGAATATATCCTCAAGGTTGACTACTCGTAAACGTCTCGAGATTATTTGCATTTGCAAGTTATGGAATAAAATGCTGCATTTTTAATAATTAATAATTAGATTTAATACCTCAAATAGATCACTTTTGATGACGGCAAAAGGCAAAGAAGAACTTGAAAAAATTGTTCGAGTACTCGTTCTTTTAATCACTTTCCTTTTGTGTCCGTATCCCAAGCAATTTATAGCTAGAAAAAATTCGAAAAAATAATCGTTGCAGATGTAGAATTAATCTATTAATGCATCTAAGAATGCATTAACCTTACGGTAAATAACGTTTCGTGTATAAAACAATACATGTACTCTTTCACTTCATTCATTACGTTCTCCTACTTTCCCCTTTTATTAGGAACATTCTTCTCTAAGCGACATTTAGAACACCTTGTTTCAGAGGATAATATATCGAATATTATTAATTAATTTTTCCATTTTAATGATGACTTCGTCTCATAGTACGGAAGATCGGAGGACATGATAATAGTATATTACCGTCTTTTTGATGATTTGAAACGGAATTCTCACACAAATTTTATTATTATTGTAGCGTTTGTTTATTTATTTATTCAAATTTCATTTTTTTGTTTTATAAAAGTTTAATAATGTTATTGGTCTCAGTGAAGAATATTTGATTTTTATTTAAACATATTCTTCGGGTGATGATGAATTTCATCGCAAATTGTTTTATTTATTTCTGTTTTTTGCTAATTTTTATTATTGTAAGAAATAGAAAATATATTTAAATATTTTAAATTTCTCTCTCTATCTCTCTCTCTCTCTCTCTCTCTTTCTCTGTTTCTCTCTCACAGTCTCTGTCTGTCTCGTATATAAGAGCAATATGCTTTATCGGTTTTCATGTAATAGGAAAATACAATAAAGATGACTCCTTAACAGAAGACTTTAAATGCCTTAAAATATTTTCTTAAATAAATAAAGAAAAATTCCTGCAAGTTCGAGTTAATTAATTAAAAACTAAAATAAAAACAAATTTTATAGTCTAACAAAATGTTTAACGACTTTATACTTTAAATTTTACCAGAGTATTGGTTGAACGGTAAACAAAAAGAAAGAAGAAATAAAAACTTGATGCAAAAAGAAAACATGGCTTATGTTATTACGCCAAGTAGTGGTGCATAAAAGGGGATAAAAAAAAAAAAATGAGGGCAGGGGATGCTGTTACGCAGAATTCTAAGATATTTTTTTTTTTTTAGAATTATTTTAAAAATTACACTGAGCACATACACTCTTGGCTTTTGTGTTGTCTCGTACAAACTCATGAACGTTAAATTTACCTTCGTCGCCATTTTCATAACCACGACTCTTCAGCTGCCTGCATAGAGTAAGCCATAAAAAGAATGAAGATAAAAATTAATTAATTTTATTAGAAATATGCATAAGAATACTATAATATATTATGACTGAAGTGAGACTTTTCTCTCTCTCTCTCTCTCTCTCTATTTATCTATCTCCCTCCTATATGCTACACAATTTCTGTCTAATGTACGCATAAACTTGAATATACGCCTATATAATAATAATATTTCGGAAGCAAGTAAATAGTTCTTCTATCGGGAGGTATTATAACAACAAAGACCTTTGCATTGATAATGTATACGGCTCGTGTTCAACGTATTTTCATGAGTCTCAAATGAAATAACCATTGAAAAAATGGTGCAGTCTTTGATGACAGATGTATTGTGCACATTTAATAAACGTATTGACGTTAGGAAAGAAAAAAATATAATTAATGCGAGTACATTTTCTTACAGTTCTTGTAATTATTATACAATGAATGGAATAAATTCATTTAAGAAGTATATCGAGTGCATTTCACTTACTAAGGCAATAAAAACCATTTGAATAATCTTTTAGTAAAATTAATCAATTGTTTTGGACGGATGTATGCAGCAGCCAACTGAACTTAAGAATCATTTTCTAAATCGACTTGTATTCAACCTACAGGCCGCAATTTTCCATTATTTTGATGAAATTTCGTATATTGGCGTATTTTGGCCCATAGACAAACGCTGTTCAAAATGGTTTGAATCGGATCATTCTTTCGCCCACTTCCCATATAACGCCTTATTGTGAAAAGTTGATGTATGAATATCTTCAGAATGGCTGCGCTCAACTATAACATTTTTATTTGTTTTATTTCAAGTACTGTTTATCGTGACCCAACAGTTTCCCTATCTTTCAGGCGGTGTGTGAATGAGTTATATGCCAAAAGAACAGTTATTATCTTTAGGCTATTATATTCAGGTAAGAAGCAATTTTTAAAAATATTCAGAAATATCGAAGGCCGTTCAAGTATATCTTTTATAAACGTTATTTAATTGAAAGCAATCAGTTAACCACCTGGACAAATATTTGATGAATATATAGCTTAGTAGTATATTCAAGTGCAATGCTGCGAATATTTTGATCGGGGATTTTACGGAATAAGGCAGAACATTGTCAAACTAAAAAATCGGCATATTGCAGCCATTAACGATCGGTTCAACTTCATCCGTTTTTATTGTTAGCGTTCAATAACAGTGGTTTCGTTAGATTGAAGCAACGCGTAACATATTCTACTTAGATAGCTGACCAAATATGAACACCATCAACATTCCTAAAAAGTACTATAACTCAAAGTCCCGAACTAATAGTTACTTAATAAATGAATGAACGAACATTAACTAATTTGATCATTCAATTTTTAACACAAACAAGATATCGTCAGATATCTCATTTTTTAATCCGTATAAATTTAAAGCGATTGCTACTGCTACTGCTACTGCTACTATATAAGTCAAATCTGATACAAGTTAGAGAATAGAAAAGAAGGATACAGAACAGGCATCAATATGAAACGTAGTTCCAATCTTTATTAGAGCCTTCGGAGATATCTGGATATAAATTCAATTATTGTTTTCATATGTATCTAATGTCTAATAGTTCATGATGAAAACTGATTTAAAAACGTGATTTAATATATAAATTTTTTGCGCTAAGCATCGACGCCATAAGCCTGCCAATCTGAGTCCTTCACATCTAAGATTTAATGGTGGGCCGTGGCTTGCAGCTAGCCATAGCTTTCTTTGTCTGTCCAATGTGCATTGATAGAATTACTTTTAGATTACATTTGCTTAGTTTTTAAGATAATTGAAAATGAGGTGTTAATATGAAATTTGTGGATAAATATTGAATAAAGAACTTCTTACCTGGCGACTGTTTCGAACGCTAATTCAACATTTTGTCCTGTCTTAGCTGAGGTTTCCATAAATGGCACATTGTGTTCGCGTGCTAAACGTTCGCCATCTTCTCGCTTAATTTGACGGTCACTATTACTGCAATCCGCTTTGTTGCCTTTAAAATACATGAAAATAAATGTGAATATGATGAATAAATGAATATGAATTAATAAATGCATAAAGCGCAAAAAACCCAAACTTCCAATATAGATATACATACATACATACATATATATATTTATATATATAATATATATATAATATATATGTGTATATATATATATATATGTGAAATGTGTATAACAAATTTACCTATTAACACAATCACAACGTTTTCTTGAGCACAGTCCCGTATCTCACATAACCATGCTCGGATATTATCATAGGTAACTTTATTGGTAACATCGTAAAGTAAAAGTAAAGCTGTGGAAAAACATTTATTTTTATAATATCTAAATATATTTATATGTGTATGGTATGCATTACCATGAGCATCTCTATAATAGGCATGAGTGACGCTACGAAAACGTTCCTGACCAGCTGTATCCCATATTTGTAATTTAACACGAGTGCCATCCACTAGTACTACTTTGTTCTATAATAAAAATAAATAGATCAATTAATGAAATTAATTAGTATATCATTTTAATATTTTTGATATATACAATTATATACATACATGTTGTTTCAAATATTCATTTATTTAATACATACAGTAGTGACTAAAGATATTAGTACGTTTTTTTTTTTTTTTTCTATTTTTATTCTGATATAATTTATGTCAAAGGTATCTCGGTGCAATATTTTTAGAAGGACAAAGAAATTAAATTGAAGGTATTAAGTGCAATAACGACATCTATATGTAAGCTGAAGTTAAAAATAACGGCCGATTAGTATCGTATGAATGAAAGTCGAAAGATGTAGAAATGCGCTGAAAGGTGTAGAAATTAATTCTCATCACGGGATTGGCTCTTTTATAAAAAAAAAAAAAAAAACGTTAATTTCAAGGGCATCATAAAAAATATGTATTCTTCAAAGTGTTGTCCATCGATGCTGCACGTATTCACTGTGCTTCTAACAGGCAATCAGAGTCATGTCGAAAACACAAGCGTTGTTTTAATGCTATCTTCGTAAACGCCATTTGATGACACGGACTAGGCACCAGCTGTTGGTTAGACGGACGTACAACGGGAATGGTAGCATATTTCAGTTTAGTTCAGTGCTAAGAACATTGCCCGAACGACTTTTGTGGTAAAGGGCTTGAGCGTTACTACACTGCAAAATGAATCGTACAATGCATTTTCGCATATTACAGTTGATTTTCTTTAAATGTTTGGTATAACCGCTGCAGTTATTGTTTGTTGCATGCCTTAGCGATAGTCTCACTGAGTTGGAGATGTGCGGATGCTATCACTTTCAATGTTTCAATGCTAATAGATTCCCCTAATGCCCCCCTTAGTTTTTCCGATTTTAAAATTGTCCGATTTCGATTATCTGTCGTCTGTTACGTCTGTTACAATAGCATTTACTTTCGAATTTCGCAGGAAAAATAATGCTGGCTGGTCCAGAATTCGATTCATTCAGAGCTCCCAAAAGCTTTGCTGTGGACACTACAGCAAAAAAATAACTTGTACTATTACATACTTCTTAGAGAACATATGGCGAAGTCACAATTTGATAAATGGCCACACAGACAAAATTAATTTTATCGCTATTAATTATGTTATTAGGAGAACTTTTAATTCATTTGCTTATATCATTTTTATTGAGTAATCGAAATGAAAGCAAAATATTAATCATAATTATATTATGTGCCAGATGTTCATCTCATGTTGTGTTTAATGCGGATAGCTTTCAGAATTTTTGCACTTCGACAGCACGCGAGTGCAAAATACTGTCATAACTTTATCCGCGAATGTTGACGGTAATCGAATACCCAGTGCTAAGTATTGCGCCATTTTTACAATAGAAAAACTAGTTGAATATATGAAAATATATCGGAAACGAGATTGTGTTGCAGGCAATGCAACCAATTTCGAAACCATCCAATGCAACATCGATTACAGTAAATCTATTTAATTAAATGAAGACTTTTATTACGTGATCCTATTATAATGGCTTGTAAACTAATTTTGATTTGAAGAACAGCAAATCATAAGGAAACTGATATTAAATGAAAATAGAACTGTCAAGTGCTTAGGATATGTGTACTAATTCGAAGCCGATTATCGTTGCTTAAGCTTAATACTAAGAAAGAGTGAGCAATTCTTTAGACACTACTTTCTCTAACTTTTTTCTTTTTTTTTTTTAGAAAAAATACAACTCTGCTGTTTATTTTTGCAAAATGAAATCTGAAAATATTAATTTTCCTTTTTCTTTATATATTATTTATGTACAATAATATGTATACTACAATAACGCTGCGCTTATTGTAGCATATACACAGATGTGCAAACAAGTTCAGCAAACAATTACATGCAACATTCATTGGATTTTGTTTTGAAGGAACTTTTGAAATAATAAAATAAACCGATTTTTTTTTTTTTGTTTTTTTATATCCACTACAACGAAAGTCTCGGATATATTGCTGTTTACAAGTCACCAGAGGCTGATAACCCAGATCATAGATTTTTATTTACGTGACCAATTACTCAAGAGTTGTTCCCTTTACGTCTATGAAAAACACGGTTTTCTGGTCAGAGAGAAAGAAGTGTGGAACTTGGTAAGTGTATAGACGATTCATAATTTTCATGTTTCCACATTTCCATGATCGAGCATTAATTATAGCTGCGACTACCTATGCTTATTGTAAGTAACTCTAAACGATACAAGTGTTTTTATGGTAAATACTACCACGATGTTCTTCACAGACTTCCAGGCAGATAAGGGAAACATCATCGATCGATACAAAATTTGTTAAGAAGACGAGTTGGTGAACTGTGCATATTATTTTGGAACAGTTACCGTAAAATCACATTTGATAATTTCCTTGGGAGCTATGAACTCTGAAGCAAAATTTATTATTGTATATAAAAACAAGTAGAAACACTATGGGGGGCCAAGCCATTCTAAATTGGTATGAAAAATTTGTTTTCGCTGGAGTAATTTCTGAACACTCTCTTACATAACCGTTCCTACGAAAACTGAATTTTTGTATGGTAGAAAGATCTAATTCTCAATATTTCATGACGAAAATTGGTTCATAATAATAAATTGATAAAAAAATTGACAAAAAGGTCTAATGGTTAACGTTTCACGAAGTGAAGAATTGTTCACAATAGTAACGTCATAGAAGTATTAAGTGAATTAAATCTGAACCACACACGTGTATTTCTTAGACTCCACTCCACACTTATAAATATTTTATGATGAAAATTGGTCCCTAGTAGCATATTAACCAAAAAACAAATTAACTGTTGTGAGTTAGGATTCTATTTTTGGATCTCAATATACATAAGAGTGAAAAGCGAGCCCGTATTTATAGACAAAGCCTAATTTCTAGTTACCTATGACGGAAGTTGAAAAATAATAAAGTTTTTGGGGGAAAAATTGAGTTTGCCAAATTTTTTATCATTTCACCTTATGTCGTTGAGCATCATCCAATGTGCGGGCCTTGATTAAAAGTGTGGCTTCGCATGAAGATAATAAATAATTTTTGATGTATTATTGCTATAACGACTAGAGAACTGTATTAGGGGAATTGATTTGGGGTATTTAATGGTCGTCCTTGCCCAACTATAACGTGTTTACTTGTTTTAGGTCCTCTTACGATCGACAAAAAAGATCAACATTTTACGCAAACTTCTGGTTTCAATAAGAAATCTGTGGATTTCACAGAACTCAATAGTACTGCCGTATGCGAGCTTATTAACGATAACCCAAATTGATCTATGAGAGACCCTTCCTTCGATTTCCATAGGGTTCATGTTATTCTAAATGTAGTGGTTTTTTAAGCAGTAAATTTGGTCAAAAGCGAAATGTGTTAGTTTGCAATTAATTTAGGCACCTAATCGTCGCAAACATGGCATGTAAAACATTTTCAGAAATAAAATGCCACAAGCTTTCAAATTAAAAGCAAAGATTCTTCTCAAGCTCACTTTTTTAATGCATTTCTTTTTGTCGAAATGTCTAGTACTTTTTACCTACACCTTTATCATCATCTTTAATCCGTTGACGTAAATGATAGACACAGACGTCCATTGCGTATGCTGCAGACGCATACGTCGTCCACTGCGTAAGCTGTAGACGCATAGGACGACCATTGCGTATGCATACGACGTCGGTAGCGGCCCTATATCCTTAGAATCATAGAACACAAAAAAAAGTACTACGTTTTTGCAAGCACTCATCGATTTTAACGTGAGCGTCAACATGTTGTCCATGATGTCCATGATATCAATTTGACAAGAATTTTTAATTAAAATTATATTCAGTGTCTCTATACAACATTTGATAATTTCAATCCTACATTCACCTTTGCACCCACGAATACCATAAATATGGAATACATTTACGATGGAAAGCTGAAGAAACCCGACAAAAATTAAAGTAACAGTCGATGTTCATTTATGCACTAAATACTTGCGGGTGAAATTTTTATAGATCTACGCAATATCTGGACGGACTTGAGACGAATCGATCCATTTTATCAATACCGCTCGGTTCAGTAAATGAACTTGCCTGCCCATGTAATCATCTTTGAGATGTCTATGCATTTCAAGTTACAGATCGCAGAACAAAATTTGGTAAACTGCGATACCTTAGCCTAATGCCATGTCTTATTGGAAAATGGACTCAAAGAAGAAGAGAATAGTGGTTTGAGAGATATAAACTTACTGTGTTAAGTTTGGATCATGTTGGTCCAGTCAACTCTCATATATAAGGGTTTTTACAAAAATAATGTCTTCTTAGGGTAATAATCTCTATTTATATAATACCTATTTGAAAGTTTATAAAAAAGAGAGATCTTTAAAGCGTTTAAAGTTCGGTCGGCTTTGTGCCGTTTATTACTTCTCTATGGCTTTTTCCTAGGAGTTCGTTTAAAACTAAGATTTTGTAAAGAAGCTAGCACTGCATGCAAAGGCAATTATTTACTCGATGGGCATATTGTACTTAGATAGAATACGTCAGCAATACTTAATTATTAAAAAGATTTCTCAATTGTTTAGATATTTGTCTGTATGTACATAAGTAATCCTTTGAAAAGATTGAATAAAAAAGAAACGAAACGAAACAAACATTTCTGACAATACACCGTTATACACATAAATACATATATGTATGTGATACATACATAAATACGTATTTCGCACTTGATGCTTACATACATATATATACAAACAACATCCATATATAACTGAAGAATTTAATGAAATCAAGTTTAGAAAAAGGCTTCATACACACGGAGATAATAAATATACATATAGACAGTTGCTAGATTCACATTAAATATTAAAAAATGTTATATATTTATTTTATTTTTTTTAATTTTTTTTTTTTTTTTTTTTGTTATTCTTATTCTTTCTTTCTTTCTTTCTTTCTTTATATCTTCTTCAAGTTCCTCTTACCATGAAATCAATGCCAACTGTCGTGACA